TTCCCAAGTTATTCCAAGTGGTAATAGTCAAAAATTAAAATTTATCTTTATAATAGTTCTTGCAAACTTGAAAAAATCGAATTGAACTCCAAGTGATTTATACTTGGAATATATTTATATATGTATATTTAAAAATACTTCTCCTTGTTTGTTTCCATATCCGATTGAATTGCTTTGAATATAACTTTAAGATTCTTAACACGTTTATCGATGCACCTTCTTGTACCTTTGTGGTTCCAGTTTAGGCTCATGTGCACCGTTTAGGCTCAATATTAGATTCTATTTTAATATATCCAACTCTATTCAGTTTTCTCTTTCTTATCGGCTTACCGAATGTTCTTCTTCTTTTAGGACCCTTACATAACATTTCCATCAGAACAAGCTCTTTGACATATGGCCAAATTATACATGGGCGCATCATTTAACTAAAATTACATATTAAAATATTTTTGTTTTATAAATTATTTTTTTATTACTTTTATAAAAATTTTTGATTAATCAAATTTTAAAATTGAAAAATCAATATCGATTTCTATATACATATTTACAATGTTAATTTTTGAAAATGTCATTAACTTTTGACATTATTTACATTATTTTGCAATTATATGTATAGTTTTCCAAAATATATCGGAGTATATTGTCTATTGGTATGTTTAGGTCCTATATATTGTTGTATGTATTTAATTGTGTGTTTACATTTTTAAAATAATAAAAAAACTTTTTTTTAAAATAGCCTTAATGGTGACCCTGGTCATAACTCAAGGTTTTTATTTAAATTTTATATTTTTTTCTTGTTTTTTTATTTTATTTTTATTTTTTTCTCATAAAACGTCGCACGTCAATAATTTTATACATAGAGTTTACATACATTTGTATATCATTGGTATATTCTATTTATTTGTATAAAATATAGGCTGCAATTTATATTTTGTTGATACTGGAAAATTCTATACCTAAATGTACATACATAAGTACTTATTTATAGCTTATATATTATATTGTATGGAGCTATACAAAGTGGAATAAAATTGTATATGAGTACTCATTTCTATAATAACAAATATGATAAATTGATAATATTAGTCTAATATTACGGTATATACCGAGTATGTTTGTAAAGAAATTTTCTGATCCTATATATTATAAGAATGTATATACTTATATTGTTTAAACGTTATATTAAAATATTAACGTACTTGCTTATGTGTAGTTTGAAATCATTATTTTACATACACACAACCATCTTAGAATTGTAGAGAGATATACATATAAGTATATGATAATAACACTCTTGTACATACTTATATGTATACCAGTATTCGGTATATTAACGTAAAAATTTTAATATCATCACGTTTAGGATAAATTTAAGAAAACAAACGTTAACAGCTCATATTATTGCGCAATAGTATTTATTTTTCCTCAATTTTATTATTATTTTTATTTAAAAAAAAAAAATTTATTGTTATTTCTAGAGAAAACTTTTTTTTTGTGTTTTCATTTTTGAAGAAGGTTGCTGAATTTATTTTTTGTTTTTTTTTTGCATTTTTGTTGTCAACAAAATATTATAAAAATTAAAGATAATAATAAAAAAAAGAATAAAAATAAAAAATTAAAAAAATTATTTTAGGAAAATTTGAAAAAAAAAAAAATTAAATTTATTTTTCGATTTTTCAAAAATTTTTATTTGACCTCTAACGAAGTCAAAGTCAAAACTAAAATAAAAAAAAAACAAAAAATTTGAGAAGTAAAAAACAAAGTTTTTTTTTACTTACTCTTAAAACGTCATATACAAACATATGTTTCAATACACACACACGCACAAAAATAAAATATTAGTGAAATTGATTATAATTGAATAGTAAATAATATTGGGTATTGTACGCCATATTGACTAACTACCCTAGTGATTTTATAAAAATTATTACAGTTTTACATTATAGTATTGCAGTTGGCAGCTTGGTTCATTCATGCAATGCAATATTTCAAATATTTGCAGTATACGGGTGTATATACGGGTGTAAACAGCAACAACACACTCAGAGACTAAATAGATAAATATTGAATTTAATTCTTGCATATGTTCAAGAAAATTGTACTGAAATTTTGTATCGGAAATTTACTAAATTTCAAATAAATTTCCATTATATCAAAAAGTATAAAAAATTCTTTAAAAGTAATATTTAGATAAAACAAGATAGAAAACTTTTTATTTACCCAAAAAGTTTATGAAACTAAATGGATTTATGTTTTTTTTTATTTTCATTTTAAATTTTAATATGCTCTGCAACATATTTTTCATGATTTTTAATCTTGTTACATAGTAAAAATTCTTTCTTATATATAAATTATAGTTAACCATCACTAAATACACATACAACTTCATATAATATATCAAACAATTCCATATTTATAAGGAATTTGTTATTGTAATTTAGATACCTGCAGTTGGAAGTTGCCTTAAAGCCAAAAATTTATTGCCAAATATTTAACATAAGCAAAAAGCGCTTGTTCGACATAAATGTACGTATTAATATAGAATAATATTCAATTATTTTCTTGTTACAAGTTATATTCAGTACAATATTTCAATAGACAAACTAGCTCTAACCTATTATTTAAATGATGACCTGCACTTTGAAAGAATATACGAGTATTATCAATTATCGCTTGCTAATTTCTTATACAATATGTCAATTTCGCCTCAATTTTCACAATGATTCTTTAAAGTATTGACTTTTTTAACTTGAATTACAAAAAGTACGAGTAGTACTTTTACATAGAGTACTCATTATTTACAAGAGTACTTAGAAAGGGCTAAACAACACTAAAAGATTCATCCGCATTGGGTGAATATACTTTAATAAATGATAATTCCAATTAACGAAAAAAAAACGTGATAAAAAGGCCTGTTATGAGAAAAATTTATTAAAACTTAAAATGTAAGCTCTCTTGCGGACTACTTGTCATCAAATCAAAGTTGACATTACTCGGATCCAAGCTAATATAAGCAAAATATTAATACATACATATATAATCATATAAATATTTTCATATTTTAAAATTCGAGTTAGTTTTGTACGAGATGCTGGTCCATATTATAATAAAAAATAGATCAAATAATATCGCAAACGAGACCTTGTATAATTTTTAAAATGTACTGTGCAACACGTGCAAAATTTCTGATAAAATTAGTTTAATTTTCAAATTATTTTATATACCCTTACTTTTATAAAATTGTGCTCATTAAATCAAATGTTTTTTACTCGAAAATTTTCATCCAAAAATTTAAAATTAATTTAATATAGTGAATTTTTTTGACAGCAAAAGATTATAATTCAGTTAATTATCAAAATAAAATAACAACGACAACAAAAAATACATTAATAAAATCAAAATCAATCATGTGAGTTTAAAAACCACTGATATGAAACGTTAAGAATATTGGTATAAAATTTCTTTTGTTTTTTTGTTTTTGTAAATTTTTTCTACAATTTTCTCACATGAGTGCCCCCAACAATTTTTATGCTTTATTCTACTCTTTCTTTTTTGTTTAGATATCAAATTGTGTCCATCACATTAATAAATTTTTTGATTTTCTATTTGCAAGATTCTATGTACACTTAGGTTATATACATATGATATATGTATATAGTGTCAATTATCTGCATAAATATTAAAATTACAATAAAATCAGTTGTGGTGTTTAAAATATTTAAATTTAATAAAAAAAAGTAATTGAAATTTAACCTTTACAATTAAAGAGAAATTTTATTTAAAAGAAATATGAAAATTAATATTTAAACATGAGCCTGATTTGAGTATGCAGATTAATCTTGGTGAAATTTGTCAGAAAAATATTCACCACGGTGTTCCTATATATTATGTATTATAAGTCTTACTCCTAGAAGGAGCACAAGCCTAGTGTATGCTATAATAAATAGTTATGCTCCAGTTATAGTTATAGATATTTTAACTAGGTAGGTGACTAGCCCGTCGAAGATATTATGAGTATATATATCATAATTAAAATCTAAAAAGAAAAATTTTCAAATAATTTTAAACATTTCACACCTGTTTAACAAATTTTTTTATAATTCGATTCTTTTTCTGCAGATATATTTTAAAATTCTAATAGAAAAATTTCCATTCTTTTCTAAAATAGATTACTGATGTGTGAAATGGGAAAATTATAGATGTGAAATATATAATGTTATATTTTGACTTTAATGTATAACAATATAAAAAGTATTTGTATAGAATAAGCAATTCTGAATTCTGTTTTTACTTAAATATTCTTGAATTAAATTCTATAAACAATTTGAGATATCTAGTAACTATATAAAAAACGAGACTATCAATGATTTAAACTGAAAACTTTTGGTCATGAATGATTAAATTTCAAAATAAATATTTTAACTTAAATTCAAAATAAACAAACAACAATTTGGCTATGCTCCAATAACATGTTAAACGAGATCTACATTCATTAAAGTTATACACGTTTTTTTAAGAAAAAATTTAATTATTTTAAATGTTGCAGTTTTTTTTTTTTCTTATTTATAATAATTTTAGACATAAAAACATTGTATTTCTAATGACAATGAGAAATATTAGAGTATAGTAATACAATTATTATGTTTGACAGTAAATGGCTAATGCATTTCTATAACAATTTTAATCAGTGTGATAGGAAAGATCTGTTCGAAACCTTTATAATAGTTTCCCTGCTAGACTCGATCTTTTATGTCTTGAGATTTTTAAATTTTATTTTAACCATTTAATTTATTTTAAAATTATTTTATTTTCTATATAATTTAATTCCTTTTATAACTAATATCAATTTATTAAATTTATACTTTAAAATTTATATTATATTTAATTTAATTTTATTTATTTTTGTTAATTTAAATTATTTTTAATTTTATTTTTTTCTTTACTTTCATTTTAATATTTTATTTCTGTTGCGGTGTTAAAAACAAAAAAAAAACACACAGAAAATATTTGGGATTGTCATCAATTTTTGATTATTTCAAGGGTACTAAGACTGCTAGTAATAAGGCTATAGAAGATAAGAAACCGTCAACAGATAATAAAAATCAAGTGCCTCAAACAAAACCCGTTCTGAAACCAGCACCTGAACCACCAAAACCTGTTGTAGAACCACCAAAACCGGTTCTAAAACCAGCACCAGAACCTCCAAAACCAGTAGTAGAACCACCAAGACCAGCCCCAGCACCTCCAAAACCTATTGTAGAACCTCCGAGACCAGCACCCGAACCTCCAAAACCAATTGTAGAACCTCCAAGACCAGCACCGGAACCTCCCAAACCCTCACCTGTACCAATTACTCCGCCACCACAAAAATCATCATCACCACCAAAACCATCAACACCAAAACAAATAACTCCACCACCAGCACCGATTCAAACAAATGTTACTCCTAAAAAAGAACCATCCCCACCACAACCAAAATCATCACCATCACCATCACCATCATCGACCCCAACCAAAAATGATAATTTAAATAATTTCGATCGCAATAATATGTTTGGACCATCGAAAAAACTCGAAAATGGTGATACCGATTTAAAATCGAATATTAAAGATGCGACAACTTCATTTTTACAAGAAGAAGGTAGACAAGGACCACCAAAATCACAACAACAATCAATGCAACCATCAAATATTAAGTGAGTTTTATTATTGTTTTTTTATTTTTAAAAATTCATTTATTTTGATTTTATTTAATTTGTATATGAGCATTTTGTTTAGTTAATTTGATTTTTTTCTTTTTTATTATTTTTATTCTCTATTTAATGCTAAATTTAATTTTCTTTTTAATTCCTTATTTAATTTGTTTATTTATTATTTGAAATTTTTTCAGTTTCAAGCAGCTATAAAATATAAAAATCTACTATATGGAATTTTATGAATACTTTGTACTTTTGTTTTAAAAATACAGAGTGTTTAATGTGTTTCTAAATCCCTATATTATAGAAAAAAAGTCATCAGAAAAAAATAGATAGTAATTTGCTTTAAAAATTAATACACATACGTACATATAAAGATTAATTGTTTTTTTTTTTTTAAATTCCTGGCATGCCAGTAATTTATTTAATGTACTTATATATCATGGTAAATATTATGATATTATCATGATGTATTATATACGATTGTTATGTTATTTTTTTAAACAAAATATTAATTCTTAATATTTAAAAAATTAATATTAAAAAATTAATAAAATAAATATTGTAAAGTCATTATTAATAAAACAAAAAAATTTTTTGAAAATACAAAAAAAAAATCATAAATTTTATAATTATTATAAACTATTTCATGATCACCTCATCAATAACAAAAAACAAAATTTATATCATAAAATTCATTTAAAATTTAAATTTTATTTCGTTTTCTTGTAAAAAACTTAAAAAAAGAATGAAAATAAAACTAAGTTTACAAAAAAAAAAAAAAATAAAAGTTACTTTATTTTTCAGAATTATTTTGGCACTATATACTAATTATTTTTGAGAAAATCATTTATTAATCATAATTAATTTACATAATTTCATTATACAAAAAAATAAACTGAACATTTAGTGTAAAATTTAATATAAAATTAAATGCAATTACCAAATATTTTTATTACATAATATGAAAAATTCTCAAATAATCATCCGAGGACACATAATTAATAAATCACGGCTAAACGTTAATTATTCAAATTATCTGTATGTATGCTTCATTATAAAAAAAAAAATTAACTTTATTATTATAGAAATCAACATTTTGAGTTTATTCAGAGTTCAATTTTCATTTGATAAAGTAAATATAATTATTAACAAATCAATAATAATTATAATATTATTGAACATTTGAAGAAAATTTTAATTTATTCTTTACGAAAATGACAATATTTTTTAAAAATTCTTGTTTATTTATTCGGATATGCCTCTGAAATATTCTTGAAATATTTTTATATTATAGATTTATATTAGTTTAAACAATTTACATACATATGTATATACTTTGTAATAATAATAATTAAAAAAAATTTATTACTATAAAAATAGGCTGCCTTCATTAATGCATAAATACGTTATTCCTACAAAAGTATAACATATGTATTCGTCAACGTAATATTGTAATGATACAGTTCGCGCAGCTAAAAATTTTTCTATGCAAAATATTAGTTATTTTTATTATTTTGCTGCAATATATACTTTAAGATTGTTTTTAGTACAAAAATTTCTTCTGAATCCCACATCTAGTACTGAATCGAGACAAATTTTAAATTTTAACTACTTTAATATTTTATTACTTATATATCTATATTTTCATTTATATTATTTCTACAAAAATGAAGTCAATTGTTTTCAATAATGTAATTTTATTTACCCTATCGTAGATTGACAGCAGTTTTTTCTGCATTAATATTCATATAATTGTAATTATTTCCCTATATTTAACCTCAATTTATAAATAATGGTTGTTTTGCATGAATTCGACGTCATACACAACATGATGTGTTTCACCATGTGAAATATACTCAAAATTTTTAATAAAATATTATTTCAATTATTGTACAATCTATATGATATAGCTTAAATTTAAAATTACAGAATTCTGAAAAAAAAAAAATATTTTAAATATTGAGAGAAAAATTGTTGAGAAAAAAATTAATTTATTCTTGAAATATTATATAATATTATATATACACACATGTTATACTTAATTATTCTATTCAAAAATGCGTTTCTGACATTCTTATAACGATTGAGTAAATAATATTTTTAGTAAATTTATAAGCCATTAAAAAATTTCATTTATCTCGATATTTAAAAGGTATTACAAATTAAATTTTTCTTTTATATTATTTTAATTCTATTGTTATTAATGTTGTTTACAAATTTTCAAATTAATTAGTGTTATAATTAAAAATCAAAGCATTTCAATTATTTATAAATATATCTAATTATATTGTCTATTTTAAATTTGATTAAAACATTGTAGAAAATTCTGAAATTTTTAAATACTTTTATATAAAAAATATAAATACATACATACATCAAATGTATTTATTTACGTTTTATTTTTTTTGGCATAAGGTTTTATTATAAATAATTGCACATCCGAATTATGCATACATTCATATACCGATGCAAAAATATAATCTATCAAAATGTTGTTCAATTGCTGATAAATTATGTACCTTTGTACATGTACGATAGCCAAATTTCATAGTGTTCAAACATGAACTTTTTTTTTTGTAAAAACTACATACAATTATACATATTATGTAGTATTATCATATAATGTATATACATAATAGAGATTTCATAAACCCAATATTGTAAAACAATAACTGCAAAACACAATACTGCAAAAACATAATATGATAAATATATTTTTAACTATTCTATCAAATTAAAACAGTTCATATAATTTGACTGCACTACTCATATATACATACTGCATTTAAGAAAAGGCCTAAGATTACTGTGTTAAATAGTCAAGTATCTGTCATTTTATTGAAAAGTAATGCCAACAATAATTAACAAAACAGTATTACACAATTTCAGTTTACGTAGATTAAAGAATTAGGTAAAATTGTTTTGGTTTTTAATTATAAACAAAAGTAAATATGTAGAGATAAAATGTGTGAAAAACAAAATCAATATTGCAATTATTTAAACTATTGCCCCATACTTTTAATAAAACTATTTCCTTTAATATAGTTTATCAATTATTATTTCGATTGCGTGTTTCGGTTTACAATTAACAACACGAGAAATGAGTATATAATGCGAAGATACAATTTCTCTTTATATATAAAATTAAATTTCAAATAAAATAAAATTGATTAAAGACTTTGCAGATGTGTTTTTAATCTAAATAAGGTGCCTATTATTTCTTATAGTTTTGAACGTGAAATCAATTTTATATTGCATGACTCTATTTTATATTATTGATTGATTTTCATTCACTTTCCTTTAACTTAATTATCCTTTTAGATAGTTTGTTGTATATTATCACGCTGTAAGGATATTTTACTCGAATATTTATTTTGCCTTCAAAATAATTTCATTCACAATATAAAATATCAAAATTGGTTAATACACGCAAATTACAAATAATTTATTATTTCTTTTTGAGCTTTTTTTTCTTATATTTTTACATTGTAATAAAGGTTTACTTTAATTTAAGAATAAAGAAAAAAGGTATACCAAAATTAAAGGAGAAAAGAGTTTATTAAAGACAGTTACTTAAAAAATGTCAACAAAACAGAAAATTAAATTTGTTTTAATTTTTTTTATGCAAATCCTTGAAAATTATCTGTCTAAATATTGACAAATGAATTTTTATTTTCTTCATAATAAATTACTCTTTAAACATTTGTCAATAAAATATTTTCAATGTCAAAATTTTTTTTATAATTCAAAACGTTCTTAGAATTGTTTGAAGAAAATTTATAATTTTTTATTTTAAATTCTAGAATTTTTTATATTATTTAAAGAATTTTAACAAACAATAATATTAAAAATTAGATAAAAGAAGGTTTTTTATTGACTATTGAAGCTGCGAAACTCTGTTCCACCAAAATAATCAAATTGTTTAGCTTTGTATTTCTCAAATACATTTTCTGGCTCTGTACATATATAGTTAGAATCAAGTTCAAGGAGTCATGTCAATTAATCAAACTTTCAATAACAGGTGAGTATTTATTTATAAAATCATATTCCGGGGAGAGCAAGATTTTGTTTCTAGCTCTTTTTCCTCTCAAAATGTCAAATATTCAATTGTTGAAAGGAAATTTGTGTTTCTTTATCGTTCGGACATTTAAAATTTTGCAACATTCTTTTCTGCATTTCCTTTTTAATAATTACTTTATATTAAATAATTACTTTATACTTACATAAATAAACATTTAAAAAATAAGTATTCCTTTCTGTATATAAGCAGTCTGCAAGAGAACCAAATAGCTATATAATAAGTTTAAACGTATTTTCTAGCTGAACTAAAAGAGATAAATCGATTTCAAGTGTTTTTCGTGATTTCGTTCTTCCAAAGGTCTCAATACAATTACTTACTTATATTACTAATCTTTCAGTTGGGCCGCTTATTTATTGTACTCTCCGTTAAGTTCTATATCAAATTCCACTCGCTCTATACTATAAGAGTTCATCTAAAATTAGCTGAAATTTTTTAAACGGCATTCATAGTCTGGAAAATAAGAAAAGGAAGAAAATATTAGACAATAGACCTACATAAATTTCGTAAAAGAAATTATATTTTCATTCATATAAGGGAACTAAATTTTAATTACATAATATATAGAAATTATTTATTAGACATAACTGTATTTTCTCTAAACAAATATAATAATCAAATAATGAATGAAATTTTACATAAAACATTTTAAAAATAAATTTCCTTATATATACATATATACATATATACATGCACGTCTATAATTGCAAATCGCAAAAATTAAAAATTGACAAAAAAAAAACAAAAGCATGTCTCCTATAATTAAATATTTTGGACAGGAAACGGATTTCTCTTCTGTATTTCGAAGTAAATTATTTAATTTTTTTTTTTCATTTTAAATTTTTTTTTTTGCTTTTTTTATTTGCTTATTTTATTGCCATAATTTTTCATTATGTCTCTTAATTTATACAAGTGGAAACAACTTAAAATTGTGGTACAACAGTAATAATATAAAATTAGTATAAATAATAAATTTATTACGTTGCGTCGTCATCAAATTAAGTAATCAAAAATAAATCATTATTTTCATCATTCATAACATTTTTATAATTCACAATACACAAATATACTGCAATAATGCTTTCATTCTACTACAATAAAATAAAAGAAGTGCCGAAACTCTTTTTATTAATATTTAAAAAAAAAACAAGAAATCTTCAACATTTTTCCATTATTTTATCTTAAAATGCAATTTAAATTTATTAAAATAAAAATGAGAATAAACTCTTCTTTTATTCATTTCAAAAAAAAAAAAAAACAAAATTTCTAAATGCAGTAAGTGCGTTAAATATAAAAATAATTTCTAAATTGAATTTCATAAAATTGTATGTCAACACATACATTCTTTCTTATGTATG